CCCCAAAACCCCAAAACCCCAAAACCCCAAAACCCCAAAACCCCGTTTCATAATCAATAATAAATATTTTAGAGCAAAAATGAATAAAGCAAATCAAAAGGGATCTCAAGAGAGAGTGAACATCCCTAAGCCCAGATGCTCCAATGCTCCGTTTATTGTCGTAAGTCATGTCTAGCCAAGCTTCTCTGCCTTCTTTGGCTGACGAACATTAAATCATCAAGGGATCGTCCACTATATTTAGAATTTTAGATCTAGAGAAAGATCAAAATTGGTATATAAGAACTGCCTTTCATGTCTATAAGAGACTTGTGGTTCTTATTCAAAATTTTAGAAGATGAAATGCAATCAAAAGTCCCTGGTTTAGCCAAATTAAAGGATCTTTTGACCTTAGACACTATATGGTGCTGTAGAGATTTGCATAGATTTCTTCAAAATTTAGGCATCATAAATAATTGAGTGAAAGGAATAGAGTATAAAATTAGAGCAATAATTTATCCATTCACTTTATTTTTTGATATATAAATTTTTCTATTATTAACTCTATTTATTTAATCTGAGATCATCTAATTAAGAAGCATTTATTACTACCAAAAAGGAATAGAATCAACTTATTGTTCTTCTCTATCGTAAATTTTTTGCAAGTTTAGAAGCAGCCGCCTATTGATACTCAAAGCTGCATGGTTCTCTAAAATATTGTAAACCTTATATTGTGAATCGCAATATCAAAGGACATCATTTTTCGAAAATATTCCGATTGTCTTAATTTTTCCTCATCTGCTTTCTCCATTATTATCTTGATATTTGGCTTCATTACAGAAAATGTGCCAAGAGAATAAGAGATGCTTAGTCATTATTAGATTAATTTTTATGACCTTACCAATGCTTTCTTTTTTCAATAAATCTAATTTTCTAATTTCTGCTAACATCTGAGCACAAGCAATCTAGCAGCACGTATAAGCATTAATTTGCTATATATTAATCTGTTATGAGCCAATGAAGGCTAGCTAATATCTAAGAGCTATGTAGAATAGAGACATCATGATAAAATAAAATGGATTTAGGTTACAAATGTTGGTGATCATTTAAATATTTTGCTTATTTAGATTTTATTCTGCTATAATCTTGACTGAACAGTCTTCCAAATTATAGAAATTAGTTTTACTTCACATATCCTTCTGAAATTGTTACTATTTCATCTATTTCATGGGATTCTCCAACTTTTTCAAATATCACGCAAAATAAGGTTTTAGGGCTTAAGTTTATTTTTCTTCTAGACATTACAGCAAGAGCTGTATAAAATTACAACTGATGAAGATACGATACCAGGTATGAAGCCTAATAAGAGTATCATTATCAAACAAAAGGATGATATGAATGGTAAGACTTCAACCAACAAATTTCAGGAGCATTATAATTCCCTTCAGCTCTCATGGTCCATAATACTTTTCTAAAATTTAGGAATCTGTGCTATATTTTGAAAATGTTATTACAAAAGATGGTTTAAATCTGACCCTAAAAAATATCTATGTTCAAAAATTACAGTTGTTTATTGACTCTAAAATTTTCGAGTAAATTAAAAGTTTTAACACAGTCTTTTTATTTGTAAAATATTTAAGAATTTCTTCCTAAAATTCTAAAACTCAAGCAAATGTCTATGATTAGGGATAATATGAGACTTGGAGTAATTAGGCTAGATTTTTAATGTGTCTGGGCTAAATTATGCAGGCACATTGACCTTTTAATCCTAAAACTCTGAAAGAGGCTACATATTAAAATGGAATAACTTTTTACACTTGAGTGTAACTCAGATTAGCACTTTACCCTTTGAGTTTGCTAATGAAGTTATAGAAGCTCTTAGTTTGGGAGATAAAGGCAATGAAGAGACTAAATTTGATGAGCAATTCTCACAGAGCTCTATCTCTGGAAAGCCATCACCATTTATGAATAATGAACCAGAAATTCCATTGTTGAGGCAGGACTTTAGAAAAGCTGCCATTCGAAATAAGAGTTGGGACAATTTTTGTACTGGGACTGTCCTTCTTGAGAGTAGATATCGTAATTCTCTGAAACACTGCAAAATCCAATGTGATTATGAATGATTCGAACTTATGAAGCAAATTTCAAGCATTATGCAAACGATCTCAAAGGAATCCTTTTCCTGGAATTTTCTTAAAGAAATGTGCAAGATCATCGGTGAATTCATTGAGACTAGAGAACTAGAGATTCATACTGATCGGCTTAAGGTAATTATTGAAAAGTTCGATGACTCTAAGAAGAAATTCGTTCAAGAAATGCTCTCACCTAAAAATGAGTTGGAGAGAGGAGATTTCTGCCGCAAAATGTTGTACCAGATTCGGTACATATTCTCTAAGCCGGGAAGGTTATTAAACCTCCGTGAAAATCCTCTAATTAACAAGTATATTGAGAAAGATTATAAGAAGTTAGTCAAGACAGTGACAAAGGTGAACAAGAAATTTGTAGATGATTGGAAAGCTAGAAACCGCAAATTGATCAACATTGATGCACACAACAACGAAAATGGCAAGATAGCCATTTACATGACTTACAAGAACAGCATCACTCAGTGGAAAAAAGAGTTGGAGTACGCACATTATAAAAAGGATAAGACTGCTACTATTCAGTGAAGAATCTGTGGAAATCAAGTTATTGCTTCCCAGGTCGATAAGCATAGTAAATTATGCCTAGAAAGAATCAAAACTAAGGAGAAATCAAGTAAGATAGATAGAGAATTCATGGAAATCTCTAATATGATAACTAATGAGATGTCTGAGCTAACTAAGAGAAAGATCCATTCTGCTGTTATTAGCAAGAGATCAATTAACAACAGGAATGGAAGTATTAATTCTTTATCCATTAATTCTCCACTTATCACGAACAGAGGAGGTTCAAATCAGTTTTCATTTAATGAGAGCAAACTTACTAAGCAGCCTTGCACTCCTGCAATGCCTTCAAGACCAAAAGGAATGGATTTGACAACTCCAAACAATATTTTCTTCAACAAATTTTATGATAAGAAGATTCAAGAGGAAGATGATCAAAGACAGGTCCTTGAAAAAGAGAGTAAGCCAAAGCCAATGTTCAGAACTCTTAACAGGGACAAAGGAGTGGTCAAGCCTCCTCTTCCTTTTGAGAGAAAAGAGGTGGCAGTAAAGACCAGCATCGATCAGATATCTGAAAACAAAAACAATACAACAATGGAGACCACACCAGAGATTAAGAAGATAGGATTTGATGCCAAACTCGCTATTAGTAACATAAAAGATGAGGAAGAGAAGAAATTGGTTGATGAAGACTCTAAATTTAACGACAATCTGAAAGCATTCAACAAGTTCCTTCAACCTCTCGGTAAGACATCTACAGTCTTATTTCTTTGAATAATATTCATACTCTAATATCTAATATCCTTATAGAAAGTTTACAAAAAGTTGAAGATAGCAAAACTGTTACCTTTACTCCTGCAATGAACAAGAGGAAACTCAATAGAGAAGTTAACACTAACAATATTGATGTCAAAAAGGAAGATAAGAAGAAAAGATTCCCAGATGTTCACTTGAAAACACAGTCAAACTTCGACCGGTTCCAGAAAGACGACAATCCTTTATTACTGTACTCCAAAAATAAGAGCGTCAAAGAGAATAAAGTGAAAGAATCCTTTAATATCCTCCAAAAGCTTGGAGGAGCATCTACTTCTCCTTCTAAGAAGATAGAGAAGTTTGAAATCTTCAAAATGCCAGAGTTTACCCCTAAAGTCCCTGAAAATCCACTAAAGGAATACTCTTTCCAAAGAGATATAACCACTGAGAATTCTGATGCCAGTATTAACGAAGAAGAACGAGATAAACCGGGGAATCTTCCTGAGATGAGGAAGACAATCTCTGAGCCAGGCTCGGACCAGAAGAAGGTTAGTGACAAGTTTGAAAAGAAGCTTCCAGGAGATTTCCGTCGAAACTCAGTTGCAGTATCCAAGGACAGCTTAAAGCCCAAAAAGAAATCCTCTTTATATAGAAGAAATCTGTATGGAAGCAAGGTAAACATTAGGCATAATTTTTAGAAGAAAAAGATACTAAGCGTGATCCAAGAAGAGATAAAGGGGTCACAAGATGTCACTCCTTTGGAAGAAGCCCCTAAGACTCCGTATTACCAAAATGCTATTTTTGGAGAGAACAAGAGTCTTCTGTATTACTCTAGCTCCCATGAAGCAATGTTTGAGACTAAGAAAGAATTCAAAGCTCACTTGTATGTCAAGATATAACAATTTTTAGGGCAAAAATACTTGAATACAACAAACTTTTGAAGAACAAATATGAAAAATCTATCTCTGCTGACTTAAGCAAGCCTGAGAGCAAGCGACCAGAAATTAAGAGCATTGGAACCTTATTAATGGAGATCTACAAGACTAGTGGGTCTAATTTAATGGAGAAACAATTACAGACTGTCATTAATAAATGCACGACTAAAGATTTCCTTACAATTTTGGACTTCAACATTACCAAAATCCAACAAAGTATAACGCAAATAAATGAGGAGATTGCTAAGCAACAAGAGGAGCCAAAGAAAACAGCTGAGGATAAAGTCATTAAGAAAGTGAAGAAGGTTGAGGAGTTTTCATCATCTTGTTCAGATTCAAGCTTTTCTTCATCGCCTAAATAAAATCAACAGGTATAACAAAAGGTAGGCTCATGAATCACTATTATTTAGTTTTTCCCAGGTCTCTGAGAATGTTAATCAATCAATCAGTAACAACTCTGATCTCCTAGAGAAGATGCAGAAGTTCAGATTTATTGAGAAAAGTCCAGTTGTTGAAGAGTTTGGAGACACTTCATCCTCTGGAAGCAACCAGGCAGAACCTAGAAGTAGTTTTTCATATTCATTCTATAGAATTATCAAGTAAGAAGAAGTCAAAATTCTGTAAAAGGGAGAAAATAGAGTCAATGGATGTACTAAGCCCTTTCCCAAATATGCCACTTCAAAAGCCAAAGAGAGAAGTCAGGTATGACTCTGGAGTTGGGTCTCAGCAATTCTTGAAAGGAGGCAATACTGTCTCTCTCGTTTCAAGTCTTGTAGACCACACAATCAGGAATACCAATATGATGGAAGTCTACGAAAGGTTTAAATTCCTGTCTAAAGAATGCTTCAGGACTCAGGGCAAAGAAATATTCCTGTTCAAAATGGTCTTCAATGAGGTAGATCTTTACCTCAAGAGTTATGATGAAGATGAAGAAGACTCAGGCTGGGATTCTGACCAGGAGGTAGGCGTCATCTCTATTGCAAAAAAGCTAAAAAGTGCTATTGAAGATAAACTAGAGTTGTTTGAACAACTTGACGAAGTTGAGAGAAATCTTTTTGAATCAAACATGAGTTCTATTATTGAGAGGAATTCTTCAGTCTCATCTAGTCATAGAGAAGTCAATGTTAGTGGCTCAAAGAATAACAAAGAAGGTAGCTTTAGAACAGAGGAGACTTGTAATACAAAGGAAGATAACTTTGATATAATCCCTGATTGTGGTCAGTCTAATCTTTATAAAAATGTGTTGAAGAAAATCAATACTGATGCAGGGACAAAGAAAGAGCCCTTAAGTCCTGCTATTAATTTAAATTTCTTTGATTCAGACTCTACAATAGCTCAGAAGGATGACGAAAGTTTAAATACACCAACAGATAGCAAGAAAGGTGTTTATAAATCAAGAATGGCTCAGAAGGTGAGCTCTTCAACATTCTATGCGCCTAGGAGCAGTTCTATACAGAGTATCAGATCTAACAAAAGTAATATCACTAATAAGAAGACAAAGAAGAGTGATAAAAAACATCAAAAGCAAATTAGAATTTTTCCAAAGAGAAAGGTGTCTTTTTCTTCAGAATCTGAATCAGAATCAAAATCAAAATCAAATTCATGTTCTAGAGCAAGTTCTCCAAGCTCAGCTTTAATTATCTCTGAGGTCTACCCAAAGATATCTAGTAATGATTCAAAACCAACTAAGGGTCTTAGCAAATTTGCTAATAAGAAGTCACTAATCAAAAGTAGGAAAGGAGGTCTCAGTAGACTCTCAAAGATGAAAGGATTCAAGACTAAGAAAGAAAAGATTGGACAGAAGGAAAAGCTCCAAATATCTGAAACTAAAGATGATATATCATCCAATAATGATAGTAATAACAAGGTCCTTGCTCCTTTGAAAGAGGTCTCTGAGGTCGATAGCCCTTATGTGGGTAATAATATAGAGCAGTTTATAAACTTCTCTGAAAAGGAAGAAGTAAAGCAAATATCTCTACATATGCGAGAGGTTTCTATCCCTATACCACTGGATAAAGTTAAATCTGGTCCTGAGAATCTTATGAAATCTCAGGGATTTGAGGAATCTCTTAATCAAAAAGAAAAATTAGGCCTCCCAATACCAAAGACAGTCCTCTCAAAAGTGAATGAGATGGATGAATCACCTGCTATGAACTCAGTTATTGAAGCGAAATCAGCAGTTAAGAAAAACGCGGATACAAATATTTATACTCCTAAAGTGGCCTTCACATCGAAACTAGCAGATCCAAAGGCTAGAATGATAAACAAGAGGAAGACTATTTTTAAGGTAGATACGTTCAACTCCATTCTCGATTCCTTCGGCTCGGAACAAATCCAAGTAAGGCCACCTAAAAAGAGAGGAAATTCAATAGTAATGCAGTCTGTGAGAAATTCTTCATCTGTTGCCCTCCCAACTCTCGAAGAAAATGTAAAATCAACTCGGAGGCTTTCATTGTCTCATGATAGAGGAGCCCCAAAAATTATGAAGAATAGGTCAAAATCTTTAGTTCTCTCCAAAATTATAAAGGATACTATAAGACCTAGAAGGGTTATATCAGACTTCCATGAACTCCTAAATGTGAGAGCAAACATAACCATTGGTCTGTTCAATTCCCACCAAGAAAAACTGAAGAAGACTCAAGAGGAGAAGCAAAATAAGAGTGAAAAGTCCGAAGAAAGCATTAGTAATAATGAATCTGTCTCAGAAGTCGATTCTTCAAGTAGTAAGGCTCTTCTGTTAACCCATTTAGATGACTCAGTATTTTGTGAAGACCATAAGAGCTTAGTCAGGTTTTATAGCCTCCCTATTCTTCCATCAGAGAAGGATTGACTGGAGATAAAATTCAATGATGGGCTATCCAATGTCCAGAATGCCAAACTGAAGAAGACCACTATTAATGATTTCTACCTGCTCAGAGCTGTTAGCCATGGCGCCTATGGCAAGGTATGCCTTGCTAGAAAGAAGCAGACGAGAGATCTCTTTGCTATTAAAATCATGGATAAAGAGAAAATGGAGGAAAAAGGAGTCACAGATCTTGTCATGAACGAGAGAAATATTCTTAACAAAATAGATAACGAGTACGTGGTCAGAGGAGTCTACACCTTCCAAACAAAGAAGTTCCTCTATATCGTAATGGAGTACATGATGGGAGGGGATTTTGCAAACTTACTAGAAGGAGTCAAGGCTTTTGATGAAGATGCAGCCAGATTTTACCTCGCTCAGCTCACTATAGCGGTCAACTATCTTCATTCAAGAAATATTATTCATAGAGATCTCAAGCCTGATAATATTTTGGTTGACTCTGAAGGAATGATCAAGCTAACTGATTTCGGTCTCTCAGAGATTAATATGAACAACTATTTGACTAAATATCAGGAAACTAAGAGCAAAAAGATGAGCAATAATACCTTTGTAAACTCAGACAGTGACTCTGATGAAGACTCTGACTATGAACCTCCAACACCAGCTGGTGGTTTAATGGTCAAAAAGCTTGATTCTGAGTTTCTAAGGCTTGAAGCGCATAGTAATAAGCTTAAAATTAAGCAAAATTTGAATAACATCCAGAACCATAAAGTTCTAGGATCAATGGTAAATAAGAGAAAGAAGGTTCTAGGAACTCCTGATTATATCGCTCCAGAAGTAATCCTTGGAAAAGAAGTCACTAAAAATGTAGATTGGTGGGCTGTCGGAGTTATCGCATATGAATTCATGACTGGAGGCCTGCCTTTCAATGATGATTCTCCTGAGAAGATATTCGACAACATTAAGAATAGGAAAATGAAATGGCCTAAAGCTATCGAAGAAACCTTAAGCAAAGAAGCATGTAGCCTGATCAGGAGTTTGATGGATTATGACCCAAACAAAAGGCTTGGCTCTAACGGAATTGAAGATATCAAAAGCCATCCCTTCTTTAAGGATCTCGATTGGGACAATCTAAAGAGCATGAAGCCTCCATTTGTTCCTTGTGTCCAAAACGAAATAGATACTACTTTCTTTGCTGATGATAAGAAGTTTAATGTGAAAGAACTCCAGGAGATCCAGAATGATATGGGTAGCTATAGCCATAACTTCCAGGATTTCGACTCAACAGTGTACAATACCTTGGTCGATATCAACAAAAAAGAAGCAGAAAAGATGATACTTAAACTGGATGGTTTGAAAAAGAGAGAGGAAAATATTCAAGGAAGTGAAGATTCGGATAAGAATAAGAGATACGATGGTCAATTAGACGACTTATTCCAATAATTAATTTATAATTATATATTTCAACTCCTTGAAACTATCTGGGGTTTTGGGGTTTTGGGGTTTTGGGGTTTTGGGG